CCACCCTACCCCTCCGCAGCTTCTCCCAAGCTTCCACTACAGGCAGGCGCCCAAAATCCACCGCACCCAAACGCTTCCCGCAGGAGCCGGGCGCTCGGCACAGGCAGCTGGGGACATCTGCGGGGAGGAGCACGAGGGAACCAAGAGCGCTCTGCAACGCCAGACAGGAAGGGCTGGCCCTGAAACACATCACAGAGCTCCTGCGCCACGACGGGCTCCTCGCCTCCTCCCTCCTGCTCCCCCACGAGCACGGGGCAGCCCTGGGATCTGCTTTGCAGGCGTTCTGCACTTGCTGGCAGGGAAACGCCACCGGGGCTGGAGTGCTGCTGTGCCAAAGCTTGATATATATATATATTTTTCCCATCCAGAATGATTCTCTGCTTTGGGGAGAGGGAAAACCTCTGCAAACTGGCACTGCCCAGGGGTAAAGGAAACGGTTACAGGCCCAAGCAGGTCTCTCTGAACTGGCCATCCCACCTGCCCCCAGGGCCAGGGAGATGCTCGCTGCACACTCGGACAAAAGCAAACCGCCCGACGGGCCCCCCGCAGCCGGCGATGCTGCCGGAGATAAGGTCGGCAGTAAAAACCTGGCTGGACACGCGCATTTTGATCGTGCCCACGGGGACGCAGCTTGTGCTGGAAGGACAAACGGCCGCATTGTCCTGCCCGGCCGCCTCTCCGCGCGTCCCCAGGCCCTGCTGACTTGGCCGCTTGTTCCCGGAGGTGACGGCAGCGCGCGCGGCCGCTCCGTGGAAGGCATCGACGGCTGCTCCGTCCCTGCTCCGTCCCTGCAGCCTTCCCGACACGCTGGGCACTGCTGCCTCCGTTCCTGCTCCTTCCTGCTTTTTCTTTGAGCTGCTTTTTCAAAGGTTTTGCCTTCCTCGGTAACTGGAACGTCGCGATCGCAGTCATGAGCAGCAAATGCCCCCAGGCCTGAAGGTGGCTCGGCTGCAACGGGTGCTCGGGCTGCTGCACCTGGAGCCGCGCGGGCACCCGCTGCACGTCTCCCAAAGCAGCAGTGGTGCCAAACCTCGTATGCGGGAATTTCCATTTCCTTCTGCGGATTTACAATATTGACATCAGCCAAAAGCGCCTTCCCTGTCAAATCACGTGCAAAAAGCAACTGTAGAAATGTGCAGTGGCTCGAAGAAATACAACTCTCGTGGATAAACACAGTATCCGAAGAGGAACGACCCGCAACACCAACTGCTGTAAGTGAAGTCGCCCTTGGTAAGAGGGTGAGACTCCAGGCAGGGAATGGGGTGCCCTGGTACTTCCCTGCCATGCTCTGCCCACCCCAGGCCGGGCAGCCCACGCTCCCCAGCACCCTGCAGGGCTCAGATCGCAGGCAATGCTGCATGGGGGATCAAGGTGCTTCTTGAGAGATCACTCGAGTTCTCATATCAGAGATCCAAGGCACAGGGGTCCAATCCCTTTCAAGTCATTCCTGAAAACAGCCCGGCAGAAGCAGCTCCACAAGTGAATCCCCGGCACGAACTGCCCCCAGCTCAGCTGCGCAGCCAGTGGCGAGGCTCCTTGTCCGTTTTGGGAGGCTTTGGGGACAGCTCCTTGCAGAGCGCGGGCGCCGCTGGGGTTTGGCACCGTTAACTCTCCCGTGCAGGCTCCTGGCGCTGACGGCAGCGCTGCCTCTCCGCAGGCTCTCCGGCGCCGCGCTCCCACACGGAGCGTTCCACGAGGGCCTGCCGCGGCAGCTCCCCGGGCAGGACCGGGTCCCCCTCGCCCGTCGCGACGTCCCGAGGGCGTTTTGGGGCACAAGCACCAAAGCACAAGCTGCAGACGGGGCCCCTGCTCTAGGGCACCTTGTGTTCCCCCCAGCCCCGGCCGTTCCTCCTGGCACCCCAAATGTGCGTCGCTCCCGGAGGGAAGAAACGCCAGGGCACGAACCGCAGGGTTCAGGAGGGCGCAGGAAGCAACCGGATACGCAGGAGGAAGAGGGGAGAGCCCTCCTGTCCCCAGGGAATATTGATCACCAGGAGGCTTTAAAGGGAAAGGGAGACGTGCGCGGCACAAGGAAATCGATCTGTTTACAGAAAATATCGCCAGGTTGCCTGAAAACGAATATCCTTCATGCCAAGGTTTCCTTTGAGAGAGCATGAACTCCAGACACATTAGAAGGTTAGGCGTATAAGTAATGTGTTTTTTCACCTTTAGCTAAAGGTCACAGAGCATTCAACAAAATTCCTCTGTTCCCAGGCTGGACATGACAAATCGCCCAGACACCCCGATACTACAGCTAATTAATATGGAGAGCACAAGGTTTCTCCTTTAGGTCTGTCGAGAACCATGTAATGCTCTTAGGAAAAAACTACCCGCTGCTGCTGGGTTTTAGTTTTACCTAAAAAATACCAAGCAAACCAGAACCTTCCTCCTTCCCTTCTCAAAGTATGCACGCACACATACTTGGCAGAGGTTTTTTTGATTGATTTTTTTTAATACTTATAGAATGAAATAGAGGCCCACTCTAACTCACCAGACTCTAGGCTGCCCCTCGGACAGCCGTGGGTCCCGGATGCCGACGGTGCAGGGATGAGAGCCCGGCACGGGCTGGCCCGTTCTGAGGATGAACTTTGTCTTCTACGATCCACCCGGCCCCGCTTGCATCTGCATTGACCCCATCTGTTCCCATCCCTTCCCAAACTCGGGCGCCCAAGAGCGGAAGCAGTCACAAATCCATACCCCACCCGCCCGGCTACTC